TATATATATATATATATATGTATATATATATATATATATACATATATATATACAAGATACTCCATTTTATTTTTGACAGCCGAATATCTGGAAATCTTACGGAATTTCAGAAAAATATATTTTAGATAAAAGTTTTAAGATTTCAAGAGGAACTCAATTTCGAAGGGAACATAAAAGCGAAAATTTTACAAGATATTTTATATTTTATATTAAAAAATATTTAGATAAATATCTTGGAAAATATTTACTTTTTGACAATCTTACTCTAGTATTTTTAAATGCAAAATGAAGGGAGGAATCAATTTGTGCTAAAAAAATTATATGATTTCAATAGAAAAATGAAAGTTATCTTGAAATGGCCTTGAAAAACATTATCCGAGGGCAATTTAAGATCAGAATATTATGTCTTCCTCAAAATCCTATGATTTTTGTTTGAAATATTTTTTTAAACTCAGTGGTATTTCCAGATATTTGACTGTCAAAAATAAAATGGAATTTCCTGTATATAAATTGTACATGTAATTAATTGGTTTTCTCCCAAATTAGGAGATGCGACCAACGAACTTTTGAACGAAAACCACGATCTGATTCTGCAAGATATAACGCCCCTGCTACAAAATTCCTTGGAGAATCTCTTCTTGGATGTGGCAAACAAAATCACTCGAACCTTCACATACAACGAACTGTTTCCAGAAAATTAGCCATCGTTGATCTTTGTGCTTAGATCGATCTAAATTATTCACACGTTTATTCTTCAGCCTTGACAATCATCGGTTTCGTACGGCGTCAAATTTGATAAATTTTCGCCTATCGTTCTATTTTCTTTTTTCGTTTTATATTGTAATATTACGTTGGGCGTAATTATAGTTATATATAATCATAATGTACAAGCACATTGATTATCGTGCTCAAATAACGTCGAACGAAACAATTGATTTCTCTTCGAGTTATCGGCAAACTTTTTGGTAATTAATGTATTAAAAAGAAAGAAAAGAGTACTAACTATATTATAATAATTAAAAAACTGTAACACTATAATTATCATAAGCTACATATATATTAATAATTATATATTGATACAACACGCAATTCTCCACATATGTCTATATTTAATTATGTATCATAGTTTAATATAATATATACATTAACAAAGAAACTGCAAATCAAGGGGAACACAGGTTATCTAAAGTATTCCGCATATCAAGTGTTCTATGAACTATGATACTTAAATGTTGATAATACATTTATGTTTGTTAAAAGAGTGTGTCCCGGATATTGGGTACTCTTCTGGATATTCTATCGAATTGTATTATTTAAGAGAGGAAGGTAGCTTACTTGGACGCAAGGAGGACTTTCTGATCGGATCGCATGGAAGATGCACATTGTTATGCGTTATTCATGCGCGCATGCCGGAAGACAAACTATTATATAAGGAAATTGTACTTTATTAAGTTCGTTACATGTCAAAATTACGCGAAATCAACCCAAACGTCATGAAGAAAGTCGCGATGCAACTGAAAGCTCGATCGCGCGTCGAGTGATCGTTTAAATAACGCAGATGAATTATGGAGAGCCACGGGCTTAAATTGCGCCAACAGTTTGGGTGTCGTCGCGTTCTCAGTAAGATTAGAAATAACGATAAAAAAATTACACATATATATATATATATATATATATATATA